AAAAAACCAAAATTAGGTTTGTCTGATGTTTCCTCATGATTAGACTTGAATTTTTCAACCCCAGTGAGAGTATTATGTAAGACATTATTTATGTAGTGTAGGTGTGATATTGTGTCGTTCTCAGGATATCACACCAGGAAGCACACAATGTCCATCTGCTCCTGGTTGGTGAAGTTTTAATCACCTGGTTAAGATACAGCCTGGGGGGTGGGTAGTTACTATTTTTCCACTTGTAACTAATGAGCCAGTCTGTGGGGAGGCACTTTGAGACCATGAAAATGTCTATTCCTCATCATTTTTTTTTCCTTCATAGAGTTAACATCTATTCTTGATTGGTTCTCACCTGAATCATTATTTATGGTTCCCTCCACATTTATGTCTTTATTTTCTTCTAAGGAGGAGCCTTACCTTCTCCTCTATTTATTTAGGTATCTATTTATTGTTAGTATGGACTAATGGGTTCCTATTTGTTCCATTGGTTACAATTTATTATTGTTCTTATTTATTTTTGTTGGGGTTCGCGTGTTTCCTAAACAAAGGAATGAACACACAAGACAACACAAGACAAGACAAACATGGCGCCTGCCTCGAATGGCGCGCTCTGCTTTATTTTATACAGTCATTTGTGGAATGTTGCCAAGTCACAAGACACCTTGTTGTTTTTCTGACCTTTCCCTGACTTTCTGGATTTTCAAGATGTTTACACATAAACAAGCCCCCAACGCCCTGCTTCGTTTGCAAGAGCAGGACTTATCGGGAACATCTGGTTTGCAAGCGCATAGTCCTCTACATTTTTGATGCTGAAATTGTCACTGCTTTGACTCATGGGAGCCCCTGTAAGCTGGCTCCTGTATTTGATCTACCTCCATAATTTTTTGGAACAGTTTCTTACTCTCTGGAATGACAAAATGTTCCAGTCCGACAAAAACGTTCCAGGCTTATGTTGTACTTTGCCTTCTCAGCTTGGTTTCAGCCATTTAAAAAATCGCTTTAGCTTCGGTTGACATATTAACACCGTGCCTTACTACTAGGTAGTAAGATTTGTAACAATTTTGGGCCTTTTTCGGCCAAGGAAAATTGTGGAATGGAAGAAGACCTAGATTGAAGAAGTAGTTGGTGAGACCTCCCCTGTTTGGGAGGTGTGTTAGATAGATGAGAGTGATCGTGGAAAGCAGGTTGCTAACAGCAGAGAGGCCTCTCCAGTGAGTGGCCAAGGAGATTGGCCAAATATGGCAACTCTTAGTTCTTCATGACATGTGCGTGTCATGCTGGGGATCCAGAAGTTCTCTTTTGCTCTAGTGATGGAGTGTGGAGGTACTGAATGGGCCAGTGGGTAGGCAGTAGCCTGGGGTTAGTGTGAAAATCCTACCATGTACAGAGGCTTAATGACTGAAGGGACAGCCTTGTTGACCAGGCTGGAGTATAGTGGTTTGGTCATAGTTCACTGCAGCCTCCAACTCCTCGACTTAGGTGATCCTTCTACCTTAGCCTCTCAAGTGGCTAAGACTCCCAGCATGTACCACCATGCCCGGCTAATTTTTAAAGTTTTTCCAGAGGTAATGTCTTACTCTATTGTCCAGTCTGGTCTCAAACTCCTGACCCCAAGCAACCCTTCCACCTCAGCCTCCCAAAATGTTGATTTACAGACATGGCCACCACACCCAGCCCTGTTAATTTTTAAAAATTATTATTATTGTTATTAATCTTTTTCCTTTTTTTTGGAGACAGAGTCTTACTGTGTCACCCAGGCTGGAGTGTAGTGGTGTGATCTTGGCTCACTGCAACCTCTGTCTCCTGGGTTCAAGTGATTCTCCTGCCTCAGCCTCTCGAGTAGCTGGGATTACAGGCATGTGCCACCATGCCTGGCTAATTTTTGTATATTTTGTAGAGATGGAGTTTCACCATGTTGCCCAGGCTGGTCTTGAACTCCTGGGCCCAAGTGATTTGCCCGCCTCAATCTCCCAAAGTGCTGGGATTACAGACGTGAGCCACTGCGTCTGAACTGTAAATTTTTTTAAAAAGGCATATTGAATTTTGTCAAATGCCTTTTTTTGCATCTATAGAAATTATCATATATTTTTTGTGTTTCATTCTGTTAATGTGATGTATCATGTTTATTGATTTACTTATGTTAAATCATCTTTGCATCCCTGAGATGAATCCTACTCCATCATGGTGAATGATCTTTTTTCTTTTTTTCTTCTTTTTCTTTTTTTTTAGACAGAGTCTTGCTCTGTTGCCCAGGCTGGAGTGCAGTGGTGGAATCATGGCTCACTGCAACTTCCACCTCCTGGGCTGAAGTGATCCTCCCAACCCAGCCTGCTGAGTAGTTGGGACCACAGGCATGTGCCACCACGCCCGCCTAATTTTTGTAATTTTAGTAGAGACGGGGTTTCACCATGTTGCCCAGGCTGGTTGTGAACTCAAGCGATCTGCCCACCTTATTCTCTGCAAGTACTGGTGAATGATCTTTTTGATGCACTGTTGAATTTGGTTTACAAATATTCTGTTGAGGATTTTTGCCTCTATGTTATTCAGGGATATTGGTCTGTAATTTTCTTCTTTTGTTGTGTCTGTCTGGTTTTGCTATCAGAGTGATGCTGGCTTTGTTGAATGAGTTTGGAAGTATTCCTTCCTCTTCCATTTTTTGGAATAGATTGACAAGAATTAGTACTAGTTCTTTAATTGTTTTTTAGAGTTCAGCAGTGAAGCTGTCAGGTCCTGGGCTTTGCTTTGAGGGGGAGACTTTTATCTTGGATTGTATGTGCTAGGAATTTATCTCGTTTTTCTAGGTTATTGAGTTCGTTGACCTATAGTTGTTCATAACATTACGATCCTTTGTATTTCCATTGTAATATCTCCTTTTTCATCTCTGATTTTATTTATTCGAGTCTTCCCTCTTTTTTTCTTAGTCTAGCTAAAGGTTTGTCAATTTTATGTTTTTTAAAAAACCAGCTCTGTTTCATTGATCTTTTGTATTTTTTTTTCTAGCATCCATTTCATTTATTTCTGCTCTTATGTTTTTATTATTTCCCTTATATTTATGTTGGGTAGTTCAAGCAAAACAGGTAGCATCCTAAAGTATGTGAAATCTAATTCTGTCAAATGATGTGTCTCTCCTGTCCTAAGTAATAGAGTGACAGCAACTTGCCATTGTTTTACTGATAAGTGTCTTTATTTTATTTTTAAATTTTATTTATTTATTTATTTTGAGATGGAGTCTCACTCTGTCGCCAAGGCTGGAGTGCAGTGATGTGATCTCAGCTCACTCCAACCTCCACCTCCTAGGTTCAAGTGATTCTCCTACCTCAGCCTCCTAAGTAGCTGGGATTACAGGCACATGCCCCCATACCTGGCTAATTTTTTGTATTTTTGCTAGAGATGAGGTTTTGCCGTGATGGTCAGACTGATCTCGAACTCCTGACCTCAAGTGATCCACCCACCTCGGCTTCCCAAAGTGCTGGGATTACAGGCGTGAGCCACTGCGCCCAGCCTTTTTTTTTCATTTTTAAAAAATGATTATTATTTTTGAGACAGGGCCTCACTCTGTTGCCCAGGCTGGAGTGCAGTGGCATGATCATGGCTCATTGGAGCCTTGATTTCCCGGGCTCAAGTGATCCTCCCCTATCAGCCTCCTGAGTAGCTGGGGCTATAGGCATGTGCCACCATGCCCAGCTAATTTTTATTTAAAAAATTTTTATTTTAGGTTCAGGGGTACGTGTGCAGGTTTTTTATATAGGTAAACTCATGTCATGTGGGTTTGTTGTATAGATTATTTTGTCACCCACATATTAAGTCTAGTATCCAATAGTTATTTTTTCTGATCCTCTCCCTTCTCCCAACTTCCACCCTCAAGGAGGCCCCAGTGTCTCTTGTTCCTCTTTGTGTCCATGTATTCTCATCATTTTTTTCCCCTTTTAAGCAAGAACCTGCAGTATTTGGTTTTCTGTTCCTGTGTCAGTTTGCTAAGGATGGCCTCCAGCTCCATCCATGTTCCTGCAGAGGACATGATTTTGTTCTTTTTATGTCTGCATAGTATTCCATGGTGTATATGTCCCACATTTTCTTTATGCATTCTACCATTGATGGGCTTTTAGGTCTTTGCTATTGTGAATAGTGCTGCAGTGAACATACACGTGCATCTTTAGGTTAGAATGATTTATATTCTCTTGGGCATATACCAAGTAATGGGATTGCTGGGTCGAATGGTAGTTATGTTTTTAGGTCTTTGAGGAATCACCACACTGTTTTCCACAATGGTTGAACATTCCCACCAACAGTGTATAAGTGGCTGGGAGCAGTGGCTCACGCCTCTAATCCCAGCACTTTGGGAGGCCAAGGCAGGTGGATCACATGAGGCCAGGAATTTGAGACCAACCTGGCTAACGTGGCAAAACCCCATCTCTACTAAAAATACAAAAATTAGCTGGGTGTTGTAGTGCTTGCCTGTAATCCCAGCTACTCAGTAGGCAGAGGCATGAGAATTGCCTGAATCCAGGAGGCAAGGTTGCAGTGAGCTGAGATCGTGCCACTGCACTCCAGCTTGGGCAACAGAGTGAGACTGTGTCTCAAAAAAATGAAAAACAAAAAACAAGTGTTTCAGTCTTCTCTCCACAACCTTGCCAGCATCTGTTTTTTATTTTTTATCTTTTTGATAATCCAGATGATTTTTAATTTTTTTGTAGACATACGGTTTCACTATGTTCCCCAGGCTGGTGCTGGTCTGGTATTCCTGGGCACAAGCAGTTCCTGCCTCAGCCTCCCAAAGCGTTGGGATTACAGGCATGAGCCATCGTGCCCGGCCCTGATAGGTGTTCTTTAATACTTCTTCTGAACTTCTGAACTTCCTTTATTAATTTATGTTAATTACCAGCATTGATTCCTGCATCATCGAGGAGTTATTAGTGGTGTATTTGGCACAGTTTTAGAAGTAGATGCTGCTATGTTTTGTTCATTTACAGAGTGATGGCGGCTCATAGTTACTCCTACAAGTGCATTATTACTGATTTGTGAATTAGTTTATTTTTCCTGAAACAATTCAAGTCTTTTGAAAGAGAATCTGAATTATTTTGTAGAATACTATCTCCTGCCATATCCATTGGGTCTGATGAAACAGATTTTGACAAAACATCAGTTAGTGTTTAGGCATTTTTCTGTCTTTTCTTAATTACCATCTTGAAGGATAGTAGCATCTGGAAAACAAAAAAAGAGGTTTAGCTGAGATGCTTTTGTTTGATTTATATTTTATCCCTGCAGTTTGTATTCCTCATTTTCAAGGAATTTCTTTGTTTCTTTTTTTCTTGTCAAGTGAAGCAGTGGGAGTGGCGAAGAAACAAATAAAATCCATAGCTGGTTGTGATCAATTAATTGTAAACACAAGGAATTTATTTCTTAAAGCAAGAAGTTATATTACATGACAATCTCAAGTTTCCCAAGTTAAGTTAAAATCAGATGATATGACAAAACCCTCGTCTTTCTTTGCTTTAACATAGAGAACAAAGGAAGATGCTAGTACTAATAAATAAACATTAACAGATCCATGGGGGGAAAAAAGACTACACAGGACCAGTTGTACTTTAGTGGCTAACAATTTAATGATAAGTCCAGACTAATCTTAACACGGTGAGCCAGAAAACTGGGAATTTCGAGGATGCTGTGTGGCTCCAAGACTGCTTCCTCAACCACTGTCCTGCAGACACACAAGTTTACGTAGACATCATCTTGGAGAGGAGGGGCTAAACCCTTCACATGGGTCCTGCATCCTGTATATTTTGGCCTTCTTGGAAACTTATGCTATTGAATATTTTCTCTCTTTCTTGTATACCCTTTTTTGGAGACAGGGTCTGTCTCTGTCACCCAGGCTGGAGTGCAGTGGAGCGGTCATGGCTCACTGCAACCTCTGCCTCCTGGACTGAAGTGAGCCTCCCACCTCAGCCTCCTGAGTAGCTGGGATCACAGGCACATGCCACCACTCCTGGCTAATTTTTTAAATTTTTAGTAGAGATGTGGTTTTGCCATGTTCCCTAGGTTGGTATTGAACTCCTGAGCTCAAGTGATTCGCCCACCTTGGCCTCCCAAAGTGCTGGGTCTACAGGAGTGAGCCACTGCACCAGGCCTTTTCTTGTGTATCTTTAAACCTTTTTCTCCCTCTTCGGACACATTCCCATCAGCTCTTAAACATGCTATATTGTCTTTCCTCAAAAAGAAAACAAAGAGCACCCTCTCTGTTTTCGTTACACTTCTTAAGGCTACTGTACCATCTCTTCTTCATAACCAACTTTCTCAAAAGCTTTGGTTATAATCAAAGACTCCAGCTTCCTTTGCAGGCTCATCTTCTCCTGGCATCTAAAGTTTAGATTTTAGGCCTGTTTCTGGGCCATCTTTTCGGTCCATGTGCCTTCTCTGTTGTCATACAGAGTTGCAGTTACTTATATAATTGTTATTCTTGAAGTTATATTTCAGTCTAAACAGACCTTTAATTCTACACTCTTTTTATTTTTATTTTTTTTCCTTTTTTTTTGAGATGGGGTCTTGCTCTATCTCCCAGGCTGGAGTGCAGTGGCCACAATCTCAGCTCACTGCCAACTATGCCTCCCGGGTTCATGCCATTCTCCTGCTTCAGCCTCCCAAGTAGCTGGGTCTACAGGCGCCTGCCACAACAACTGGCAAATTTTTATTTTTTTATTTTTTTAATTTTTAGTAGAGACGGGGTTTCACTGTGTTAGCCAGGATGGTCTTGATCTCCTGACCTCGTGATCTGCCAGCCTTGGCCTCCCAAAGTACTGGGATTATAGGCGTAAGCCACCGCGCCCGGCCCCACACTCTTGTATTTAACTGTCTAGTTGATATTTCAATTTAGATATCTCAAAGGAGCTGGAAATTAAACATGTTTAAAACAGTATTCTCAATCTTCATTCTTAAATTTGCTTCTCTCCCACCTTCCTTATTTCAGTAATTGGTACCACTGTTTTGTCCTTGTGACATCCTCTCTCCTTCTCTCTGACCTGTTAGGGAGATAATTGCAATCCTGTTGATTTCAGCAGTAGAATGTTTCTCAAATATACGTATATCCCTGTATCTCTGCTGTCATCATCCTAGTTGAAACCATCATATCATAATCTCTTGCCTAAATTTCTATCTTAGTCTCCTGATTCATCATCACCTGATATTCATTCTTGTTCCCCTCCTACCCTCCTAGCTACTGTTCTCGGTTCAGGGCTTTAGATTGTTACCGTGCCTATGTGTCCCTCCCTGCCTCATCTTGAACCACTCCTTGACTTTTTCCTTTTCTCAACTCTCATTGCAGTCATTCAGCAAGTTCATTTCATTTTCCTTCCTATATTACCAAGTTTTTCTTGCATTCTCCTTTCCATGCCTACTACACAGTTCAGGCCCCCCGTTTCTCACTTGGATGTCATCCCTGCCACAGCCTCTTAAATGTGATTTTGGTATCCCCTACCGTTTTTTTCTTTCTTTTTTCTACTCAATTAAAATGTATTTTGTTGCTTTGTTTACCAGCAAATTGTGTAGCATGTATCTCATTTTGACCTAAAATGTTTCTTAATGCTCATTTCTTATTTACTGCTCTGTTTTTTGTTAGCTCATAGAGTGAGCTACCAAAGATTTCTCTGAACCCGGATTTCTTGCAACATAAAATCCAAAATCCTTAGTGTGTTTGTGTAGCTCTCCAGTTCTGACCCTTCTCTCAGCTCCAAGCTGAGTTTGTTTCAGCTATACCAGAGGGCCTGAAGATGATTCTCCTGCCCTCCAAGCCTCTGGGTCAAGGGACGCGCCCAAAGATGGGGTGGTCTGAGATGCAGTTTTGTGGGTGGTGGGGTCTGTGTACAATTCCCATTGCTTCCATTGCTCAGGTGTACAATTCCCAGTGGACACGGTAGCACAGACGGGTCCTATGACTTGAGGCCAGGCCCCCATGGGGTTGTGGGAGACGCAGGTCCAAGGATGGGGGTACCACTCATCACTGTGGAGCACAGTTCTCTAGGCCTCTAGGCATGGGGTCTTGCAGCATCTGCGGGAGAATTCACTATACCCAGCAGGCTCCGCAGGAGGAGGCGCTGTACCCGGCAGGCTCCGCGAGAGGAGGCGCTGTACCCGGCAGGCTCCGCGGGAGGAGGCGCTGTACCCGGCAGGCTCCGCGGGAGGAGGCGCTGTACCCGGCAGGCTCCGCGGGAGGAGGCGCTGTACCCGGCAGGCTCCGCAGGCTCCGCGGGAGGAGGCGCTGTACCCACCAGGCTCCGCGGGAGGAGGCGCTGTACCCGGCAGGCGAATTCTTCTTGCCATACCTGTAGTCACAATGCTAGGCTTTCCACATCTCCACTCAGGTAAAGGTGTTCAGAAACCAAACCTTTACCTGGATACCTCCTACCCTTTGTTTTAGATTTCACCTCTTTTGTGGAAGCCTTCCTTGCCGTCCCTACCACACCAGACTGGATTAGGTACCCTACTCTGTGTTGCACTTTGAAAATTAAATTACATTTAGGTTTATATGTTTGTTCCTTTTCTAAACTGTGAGTGCCTTCATCTTTATGTCTCTAGAATTAGGCAGACAATCAATTAATTTAGAATAAATGAGAATGAATACGTGAACACAGGTATGCCAGAAGTGTGTGGCGCAGCGAAAACCAACTAATAGTGGTACTTTTCCTGTGTCTGAGAAAAAAAAGTTTGCGAATACATTTTCTCAATTTCAATTTTTTTTTTTTTTTTTGAGACGGAGCCTCATTCTGTTGCCCAGGCTGGAGTGCAGTGGCGCGATCTCAGCTCACTGCAAGCTCTGCCTCCCGGGTTCATGCCATTCTTCTGCCTCAGCCCCCTCAATTTTAATTTTTTTCATATTTTTTCTTAGCCTTTAGTTACCTAATTCTGTCTAGCAGAACAAATAGATAGGTAGCAAGTGTATGCTTTTGAAAACACATGGAAATAGATTGTTGTGCTTTACATGATTTCTTTTTTTCTACAGAAACATGTTTATGATGTGATTATTTTTGGCACTAAAATTGTTCTAAGTTTTTACTATGGATTTTAATATATTTAACATGTATATAATTTGGAAGTATTTTATGGCTTTCCATATTATATGTAGTGTTCTGCATAATACCTGGAGCTACATGTACTAGGTGTTTAGGAAATATTCTTGTTGACTAATTTCCACTTTTTCCCCACTAATTTCCACTAATTTCAGATAATTTCCACTATCTGATAAAGATGGACAGCCTTTAAACTAGAAAATAAACATGCTTGAATTAATTTTCCTTGAAACAAAATCAGATTCTTAATAAAAGAAACCCTAGAAGATGCCCAATGCTTATTTGATGTATTCCTACATTCTCTTTAACTTACCTTTTTCAGAAGTTACCCTAAACAATTTAGAGTCATTATATGCCTTTAACAATATTTGAGCACAGCTGTCTTCTGCCTCATGGTCTTTTCTTAGGCTAACTTGTCATGGCTTGTAGCCTTGTAGCTGATAGATGCTCTTATGATGATTGGGGTTTATTTTAGCCCAGACAGCATTCATTGTAAGTGTGGTAGGAATGTAATAAATTTGTACTTAGCTAATTAGGAGTTTATAAGAATTCTGACATGCTGATTTGAAGTTTCTTTGTAATGTTCAAAGCAAAGAGAAAAGGATTCGTTTCGCTAATTAAAACTATAAACAAGATGGAATGTTTAATCTACTTGAGGCAAACCAACAACTGTTTTCAAGTACTTATAAAATCACCGTAAACTAGGAATACACCACTTGAAATTATTTTTTATTAAAGCACTAAAGGATTTTCTAAGGCACAGCTTTTGACTGATTGCTTCCTTGGCATTTGTTCACATTATTAGGAAATAGGGACCTATTGGTATTTTTCAAATTATTTCTTCATGACCCACAGTGAGATATACATACTATATTGCTATTCAGTAAAAACACACATGTTACTGAAACAAAAGCTGTAGAAAATAATATTTAATTTCTTGTGATGCAGTATTTTAATTTTCTTATATTTCAAATATTAAAAAGTTCCTCTCAGGACCACTAAATTGATTTTACTCATCAATCAAGATCCATAGTTTGAAAAAACTGCACTAGACTGTGGTTGAATGCAGAGACCATGACATATTAATCTTTCTGTTACTGTGCTAGAGCAGATGCTCAGTAGATATTAATTGAATAAATTGGTAATTAAGAAGAGGAGTAAGAAGTGAAATCAGAGTTGTAAAAGGAATAGATGTTTTTGACAATGAAGTTCTTGGATATAATAAAGGCAGTGGAGGTAAAGCACTCTGGTACTTATGCTTGGTATGAAATTTTTTTGTTTGCAGGAAATAGAAACCAGTGTTAGCTGAAGCAAAGAAGAATATATTAAAAGGATTCAGGGTGTCTCACAGAAATCGAGGGTAGGGGTGTGTCTTCTGATTTGGGAAGGGAATGAAACTAGAAACTGGGACGCTTTGAGGAGCCTAAGCGTGTTGTGGTTTTTCATCCCTGCTTTTCTCTTTGTGGCTTTTTTTTTTTTTTGGCTGCAGAATGGTTTCCTCTGCAGCCAAATGACAGAAGAATCTTCAGTCCACGTGACAGTTTATTTCCAAAGCTCCTGATTGTTTTACATTTTGATTCCAGGCTTTAATACTGTATGTGACTTATAGGTGGGAGAATAAATTAGTCTTTTGATATTTACTGTATGCCATGAGTTAGTAGTTTCAAGTCACTGGTTTTAGATGAGCTATCTGTATTAGTCTGTTCTCATACTGCTGTAAAAAACTACCCGAGACTGGGTAATTTATGAAGAAAAGAAGTTTAATTTACTCACAGTTCCGCAGGCTGTACAGGAAGCATGGCTGGGAGGTCTCAGGAAACTGGAAGCGAAGGAGAAGGGAAAGTCTTAAGGGGGAAGTGATCTCGCGAAAACTCTATCATGAGACCAGCAGAGCAGGAGAGAGTGAAGGGGGACGTGCGGAACACTTTCAAATAACACGATCTCGCGAGAACTCTACAGGACAACAGAGCAGGAGAGAGTGAAGGGGAACGTCCTACACAGTTTCAAATAATAAAATCTCGTGAGAACTCCTATCACGAGAACAGCAGAGTAGGAGAAAGTGAAGGGGGGCGTGCCAAACACTTTAAAATAATAAGATCTCGCGAGAACTATACAGGACAACAGAGAGGAGAGAGTGAAGGGAAATGTCCTACACAGTTTCAAATAACAAAATCTGTGAGAACTCTTATTACGAGAGAACAGCAGAGTAGGAGAGAGTGAAGGGGAATGGCCTACCCGCTTTCAAACAACAAGATCTTGCGAGAACTCTATCAGGAGAGCAGCATGGGGGAAGTCTGCCCCCATGATTCAGTCGCCGCCATGATTTAGTCACCCCCCATCAGGCCTCTCTTTCAACACACAGGGAATACAATTGGATGTGAGATTTGGGTGGGGACACAGAACTAAACCATATCAACATCCTATTCAGTATTTCCAGTGGCTTTGTTTTGCCTACTGGGTCAGATGAACACACATAGAATGTAGGCGCGTATGTTATAATCATTACTTGCGAAAGTGTTAATTCAGCACACTTTCACGTGTTCCTGGCACTAGGTTAGGCTTCAGAATAGTTACAAAGATGGATATAATGCACTATATATATATATATATTTTTTTTTTTTTTGGAGACAGTCTCGCTCTGTTGCCCAGGCTGGAGTGCGGTGGCACGATCTCGGCTCACTGCAAGCTCCGTCTCCTGGGTTCACGCCATTCTCCTGCCTCAGCCTCCCGAGCAGCTGGGACTACAGGCGCCCGCCACCTCGCATGAACTCATCCTTTTTTATGGGCTGCCACAT